TTGATGGGAGCCGTATCATTGTAGAGTTTGCTAAGGGAGTAAGTTGTTTTAAACATTTTCCACAATTTATATTCATTAGATTAGTTATTTAGTGGTCCGTTGCTTGCAGCAAGAACCATGAATTTGGCTTGGAATCAGCCATGACAGGATTATTGTTCGGCTGAAATAATCATAAATTTTGTCCCATGCATTTACTGTGTTAATATGTTACATTTAAAGGTGTTCAGCGTATGTTACTCTTTATCATATTGATTCAGTGGTGCTAGTTACAGCTTTTATACTCTTATTGAGCATTTCAGCTTTAATTACTTGTAACTTTATGCAATCTTTTGTATCAGCTTTTTCGGTTCTTTGATGATTTATGCTCTTTTGTCATGTGTGTCAAAACTTACCAACACTTATTCAGCTGACTTCTTTTCCTACATATTGTATATGGTTTAGCATGTTTTTACAGAATTATAGATGTTGATATTGAGTGGTCAAATAATTTTTTCTTAACTTAGGGTCCACGGGGTCCTGGCGGCTCTCGTGAGTATCTTGGTAGAGGTCCTCCTCCTGGGTCGGGTCGTTGCTTCAACTGTGGACTTGATGGCCACTGGGCCCGGGACTGCAAAGCTGGTGATTGGAAGAATAAGTGTTATCGCTGTGGAGAGCGAGGTCACATTGAAAGAAACTGTAAAATAGTCCAAAGAAACTCAAGTACGAATACAACTCTCCTGCCATACATCATTTGTCTTCAAGTCTACTATCCTTTGTTCAGTTAATCTTTTAAATCGGATTTTCTTGCACAGACGAAGCCGGAGTTATTCGCGGTCACCCACTCCACACCGTGGTAGAAGCAGGAGCCGCAGTTACAGCAGAGGCCGTGACAGGTTTGTTTTTACATATAACTTGTATGTTTGAGGGGGTGTAGATTATTCTTCTTTATATCCTTGTAACTGTGATTCAGGGCAAGCTTTCAAAATTTGTTTTATATGAGACATTCATAATCATTGACATCATTACTCTATGATCTTTGCTTCATAAACTGTCCATTCTACTGTTATGCTGAATTTTTGAATGCTTTGCAGTCGATCCAGATCACCTGCCAGGAGAGAACGAAGTCTTGAAAGGGAAAGAAGAGCAGGAAGCCCCCATGATAGCCGGAGCCCTAAGCGGCACAGGAGTTCACCACCACCATCGAAAGGGAGGAAGCATAGTCTTTCACCAGATGAAAGAAGTCCAAGAGACAGGAGCCAGTCCCCAGGAGATGACAGGCAGGCCAATGGGTCCGATTACAGCAGGAGCCCTCCAGCAAAGAGTCAAAGTAGGAGCAGGAGCCCTATGGATGATGCTGATGGTCCTGAGCGCAGAACTTACAGAAGCCCAGGGGAGGAGAATGGGCACAGCCGTAGCCCTAGTCCTATCCCAAGGGATGATAGGAGCCCTGTGGACGATGATGATAATCATGGCTCTCTGAGGGGTGGCAGTGAATCAGCTTGAAAACAGTGGTTTTAATTTAAGATGACATTAGTCTTGTGTTTGCAAACTCTTCCCGCCTCTCTTCTATGGATGATTGGAATGTTTTTAGTTCAATTCTATTGTTAAGATATTTCTCATTTTCTCCTATAACGAGGATCATAAGGTTTTGTAGCTTTTACCAACTAAATACATTGTCTTATTGAATATTGATTTGCTTTTCTGTTTGTAAATTTGCAATCTTAATGGAGACGAAGGGAAGCGGAGTAGGTGTCTGTCGCCCACAACTTCTAGACAAATGTGGGCTAACGACATTTTCATGTGTTTATAGAAGATATTTCTTGTGTTCGAATCTCTAGATATGAACACAGAAATTTGAATGTTCTAAGCATTAATTGGGAAGAGAGAACCTATGATTTTAAATGGACTCAAAAATTTTCAAAAGGTCAAGTAGTATTTTTTAAAATTAAGCTCAAAGGGAAGTTTACATCTGAGTTGATTTGGTGAACATATGGTACATTTCTATTGTAGTGTCATAATCAACAAGTGGTGAAATGGTGGGTCTACGTTGTATTTAAATTTAGTGGATGTTGACAAGACACGTAGAGATAAAATAGTTGATTGTCAATCATGAAAGTGACAATGAACACTTAAACTCCCATTCCTTCCGAGTCAATGCATAATTGATCCAAAGATATTATTAATCCACACCTACCCACTACAAAAGCAATAAAGGAAATGGAGAAAAGAAAACAACTAACACAATAATGGCGCTGATCGTTTTTCAAACATAATATTAAAAATTGAAACGAGTTTTGAAAAGTCAAATTCGAGTTCATCCCCCTTTTTTTTTAAAAAAAAATTTTAATTTTATCCATTTAAAAAATATTAGTGTTAAAAATTGGGAAAACATTGGATGTGTAAAGTTTGATGAGAAAATATTTAAGACCCACTTTGGATTTTAACCCAACAGATATCAACCCCAAAATTAAAACCCAAAACACCAGAAAAGCCCGATTTCAAGATCCATTAGTCCCAAAGGACTAGACCCGACCCAGGCTTATAAAACGACACTGTTTCATTTTGAGGCTCCTTCCTTCCTTTCGGCTAACAGGGAGGGGGATTGGCTAGGGCTTGGAAATTCATATGAAAAGCAAAAAAGAAGAGGACAAGAGACACAGGCGTTTGGCTCGAGAGCAGAAGACGTGAGAAGCAGAGAAAGAGAAAACGGTCCGCGTCATGTAACAGACCAAGAAGAAGCCGAAAATTAATAAGAAGGGACTCTCTGCAACCGTATGGAAGAGGCATAAAAAGGGAAGGGGATCTGATCGAGATTGGCAGTGAAGCAAAGTCTTTACGTTGACTTGAAGGAAGAGGAAGAAAGAGAAAAAGCCGAGAAGGGAGAACACAGAGGGGGACCGATGCTCGGCAGCTCCTTCGCGTGGTTGCACCGGAGTGAGAAGCTCCCTCTATCCTTAGCGAAAAGCCGAGGAAAACTAGAAGGAAAAAACGAAAAAAGGGTAGTTGAAAGAGGGAGCTAGGGGCTTGGAAGGAGGAAGGAGAAAAAACGAGGTCTCGGTTTGGTGGAGGAGGAACCCAAAAAGCCTGTCGAAGGGGGAGGATTTTCTTGGCTTCAGTACAGAGGGCTCGGTATGAAAAGAAAAGAAACAGAGTAAAACAAAGAAAAAAAAAGAAGGCCACTGAAAGAGAGACAAGAAAGGAAGAACCCCGAGGAGAAGACGGTGATTCGAATGAATCAAAATTTGCGGGGATTCCAATCTGGACCCTTAGGTGATTGGTAACAACCTAGCTATCGTGTTTCTTTTCTTTTTTTCTTTTTTGGATTAAGTTTATGATGTAATTGTATGATGCATTGAAGAATTTGGAGTGAGAGTTGAAAATCATGAAGGTGTTTGTTTGTGGCGAATGCATGTGTGTTAAGCTGAGAATGAATTAGGAGACTTATAATGCTTGTGCAAAGCCTGTGTTTTATTTCATCATGAGAGATTCATGTTAAAGCATTTGCCGATGTGAGTTGATGTGGATCTTTAATTTGAGAATTGAATTGTCTTGAAATCAATTTAGATTTTTTAAACTATATTCTTCCCTTTGATTTTAAACTTCGGCTCCTTGATTTGAGTGGTTTTGGATCTGAAATCTAAGTAGATTGTTCGTGATTGGTTTTCTTTGATGATTTATCGTGTTCAAAGTTCTCTCAAATTTGATTTGGATGGTCACTTGGTTGGATCTAGATAAGGTTCCTTGATTATAATTTTTCATTTTAGTTTTTGTTAACTTGTTGCTTTTTCAACCCTGCTCACTGAATGATATCAGATGCTTGATTTGGCTAGATTTTTAATTATTTTGTTAACTGATTGGTTTGGGCATGTAGTTGTTGTTTGATCTCTGACTTCATTGATGTCATGACGTGTTTCTTAATTTCTCTTTAGGTATCCATCCATAATTGTTTGATTTGATTTTCATTTACTATTGTTAGGTGTATCACTGCAAGTAAATCCTTGTCGCTCCAATTGTTAAGAAAATTTACTATAGATTTGATATTTTTGTCTATTTATGGTGTTTGAAGTTTTAACTTGTATCTGCAGGACCTTAGCTGCTTTGCACGCCTTTTGTTGTTTTTATTGGGTCACTAGACGGGAAATTATCAGGCTTAAGTGCTTAGCACAATCTTTTTTGAATTTGCATTTGTATGCATTTCTGGGTTTGACCTGAGAGTGACTTCAAATGTGCGTTTCTGCAAGTTGATGCTGTTTAATTATATTTGACAAAGTTAACAAGAAGTCATCAAGCAAAGCAAACATTTGGAGCCATGCCTGTGTCAGGAAATGAAGAGGTGTTACTTCTGTTTCCAAGTTGCTAGTTAACTAGGATTAAAGAAGTATGAAAGTTTTTTGTTTCTGAATTTGAATATTAATTGCTTTATCTTCTATTGGCAGACTGGGTTCAAGCCCATTGCCTGGCAGTCTAGTGATTACAGTGCAGGTATTCCTATCAAGAAAAGGAGGTTTCCCTTGATCCGGCCTCCTTCGCCACCTATTGAAGAGCCATCTTCTTTGCTGGAAAAAAATGATTCACAACAGGAAAAACTTTCTAACCCATCTCAAGGGCTGCCTATTTCAAGGGCTCCTGATGTTGCAACAAGTGTCTCCGGCTTGCTGACCACAAGAAAGAGCACCTTGGTGGTGGAAGAAACAAGAAGTTCTGATGTTAATAATGGTAACTTGGCACCAACTACTGAGAACCACCCAAGAGTGCCAATTGAAAAATTGAACTGTACAAGTCAGTCTGCTGATCTGACAGAGATTGAGGCCAAAGAGAAGGTTGTTGAAGTTAAAACTTCTGCCAGTGTCTTGATTAATCCTGTGACAATCGAGTTAAAATCAGCATCCACTGAGGCCCTTGCACCTACTGTTGGAAAAGAGAAATCTAGTCGGAAAGAAGTGGAAGAAAAGTGTCAATCTGCAATTTCTAATGTTTCTGCAAATATCAAATTGTCATTAAATTTTAAGGAACATCTTATTCCAGCTGCAGCAGGCCCACAAAGTGGGGAGAGTTGTCAGAGTCAGGAAAAAGAAGAACTAGTTTCATTGGGTTTGTCTTTAAGCAAGGGTGAAAGCAGTATGCAAGACAAGATTGATGACTTGCCATCGAATAATGATGGTGAAAACACATGCAGTAACAGATCAAATTGGGATTTGAATACTACAATGGATACTTGGGAAAGCCCTGATGCTAGTGCAGGTGATTTGAAGCCATTGAATTGCATGGCTGGGATGGTTGGCTCTGCTGTTAATACCGAAAATCAGAACATAGTGGGGGTTGGATGCAGATCTGATACTGCAACACTGTCTACCACCTCTGAAGCTTCTCTCCTTTTAGGCATCAGTTCGTCGTGTCATCAGTTAAGATCATGTGAAAAAAATCCCAGTTTGGCAGCAAAAGTGGGGCAAGATAGGATTGGTCTAATCATTCCCTCACTTGGATTGAGCTTGCCTTCTAACAATGTAAACATGGTCAGTTGTAGGGCTGTCAAAACAGAACCAGTTGATAAGAATGTCAGACAAGATTCTACAGGAGCTACGGCCAATACTGTGGGGCAAGAAACTAGAGTGAAGCCTGAACGAATTGAAAGGCACAATCAAGAAGCTTTCATACCATCAAATCATGCTGTTCTTAGTTCAATAAAGCTTGAACCAGTTAGTGAGGTTCGTCAGGAAAACTTAAAACAAATAGAGGCTACACCAAAAGTAATAGATAAGCAGATGATGCGTGCTAATAACCTAGGAATATGTTCTTCTTCAATGTCAAATCAGTCAGATGAACATATTCTACAACCCAAGGATAGTGGAAGTATTCCTCCATGCGCAAAAGTTGTGCATGCAAGTGAAAAGTTATTGAACCATTCTGAATGTTCAGTCTCAACAAGTGGAAGTGAGGATAGTGGTAAGTTGCCTCAAGAAGCCTGTGAAACTGCTATTCAGGTTGCATCAGAACCGCACACTGAAATAAATAGAGATGCAAGCATGGATGATGCTGATAAGTGCAGTTTAAAAAGTATGGATGAACTTCCCTTTGGTTCGTGTGTAAGTGTAGAAGGTTCTGTAAGTGATGAAGAAATGATTAATTTATCAGGGGATATGCTAGAAGAAGAATCATATGGTTCTGATTATGATTCAGATGGCAACCATAATATACCTGAGTGTATGGATATAGAACAAGATGGTGGAGAAGATGACTATGAAGATGGTGAGGTCCGAGAATCAGTAAGTCATACTGTGGCAGTGGATTCTGCATTGGAAAAAAGCAGAGTGGAAAGCATTAATGAGGCTGAGTATGATAACAAGATAACAGAGTTTAGAGGCCTAACTAACAATGAACTTACCACATCATCCTTTGTTAAAGAGAAAGTCAATAAAGTAGGAGACCATGGTGAAATGAATGATGATTACATTAAGAGATCTGGTGAGATTGGGTGTGATAAGGAAATTTATCTAGATGCCAACAAAAGGGCTTGCTTGCAGAAATTAGTTGAAATACCAAATAAGGGGCCTGACAACGAGAATCATATTGCAGCGGTTGAAAGAAAATCACTAGATGTATCTAGAAGAAAAGATGCTACGAAAGAACCAGAGACAGAAAAGTCATCTGACCCAGCCAGTAATGCAGGCCAAGGAACTTTAGCAACTGCTTCGGTAGCTTCAGATGGAAAGGCTAGCATTGATGTGGTAGAAAAGAACCAATCTACTTTACCCAAGGCTGAAGCATCATCCAGTGGGGATTTTGCTGGTAAGGATTCTAACAGTGGAGGTACTCGAAGCAGGATAATTAACTTGGCCCGAGCATCTAATGCATCTTCAAGTATTACAATGAGATCTATTCTAGGAGGGTCAATACAATCACAAAGTGGAGGAGAAAGATTATCTAATGTTGCGTTTGATGGAGAGAAGTTGCATCCTCGAGGGAGGTGAAAAT